AGACCAACCTCGGCGTGTTTTGTTCTCGATCCCGCGATGAACGCACACGATCCTAACCGCGGCTTGACGTTCCCCTAACGCGATGTACTCCCGGGAGCGTTGTGTTCACGTGTGTGGGTGTGCGGGCAGCTGCGTGCGAGCTTGCCGACTGAGTTGATGCCTTCGTGTGTGTGCGATGGCGCTCGTGTCAATTTGTCTCTATCTCAGTCCAAAATACCTCAGGTGAAAATATTTTGACCACGTTTTCGAAAAATTTTGACCTGTAATTCTGACATGAAAAAGTGCGGCGTAACCTGTCGTGTCGAAATTCTGAGGTCTCGTGTCAAAATTCTGGTCTCGTGTCAAAATTTCGTGCTCGTGTCAAAATTCCTGACACACGTGGGACCCATGTGTTATCTCTCGCTTGGAGGACGTTCGATCCTACAGATAGCGCCCGCAGTTTAAGAAACGTCAAAATCGATTTGAGCCTCACCAATCAATCCCTTCTTTTGGGTCGAAGTACCGGCCCAAGTCGTCCATTTCGTAAATGGCATTTCTTCTTCCTTTGGACTGTAGCATCCTCCCGATTCTCTTATTCCTTAGACAACATTAGTCTAAGTACTTCGCATTTTCTTTTTTCTGTCTTTTGATCTCTGAGGACAATCCACATCAATCATCAAGCCCTCAAAAGAGGTGGTGGAGAGTGCCATCAAACCTGTACAACAGCGGAGAGCATATGGTTGTCCGCGATGTGTGGCAGTACTACAGTACAGCACTCACTGCTGTGAACAGCAGGGGCGCGCGGGGGGCGGGGGGGCGGGACTCTGCCCCCTGCAAATGGGGGTATCGCACCATCACGATTCTCCTTGGGGCGTTTCTTACGGTGTGGCCGTGATTGAGCTATGTTTCTTAGCCCTTTTTGCTTATTTTTCGTGTAAAGTTGAGCCTTTTTTCTGAACAGAATTTTTCTTAACTGCGGGCGCTATCGGTATTTGTACGCGAAGGGAAGGGGTGGCGAGTGCCGTGAGACGCAGTACCTTCTTTCGAAGACCGTTCATTCGTTTACTCATGAAACTCAAAAGAGCCGTAGAGCCAAGCCGCGGGGGAAGGTTCAGGGAACTCTTCGCGATATGTGGAAGGAAAAGCCATCAGGGTAGCTTTTGGTCTCCGTCGGGACAGTGGTATGTACTGGTGTTCCTCGGTGCGACGCTGGAATGCGCTCGTTTTTTTTGTTTCACAAGAATGAGATAATTATATGTCTACTTGGACATTCCTCCTTCTTCCGCTGCCGGCTATGCAATACATGAGTTGGCCAAGTACAAACTTGTTTGTGTACTGTAGCTGTTTTCAACACGTCTCCGACTGCTCTACATCTCATTTCAAGTATTGTAATTGTGTTCGACGTCAACAAACGGTTGCCATTCGTCTCGGCGATGCTGACTTTTCGTGCCACCCCCGTCCTTAGCAACAGACGCGTAGTTTGAGGTAAAGCATGCCTCCATTGGCCCCTGGGATGGTGAGCTATCGTCCCCTGAATATTAGGGACGCAACCCCGCTTTATGGACGCTTTTTCAGGAAAAACCATGTGCGTCCTTAAAGCGGGGTCGGCTGTAGACACAAACAAGATACAGATATGCATGCATACCGTAAGGTTGCGAGTCAGCGCACAGGGACAGGGGTGAGATCGATTTCGAAAGCGTAATTTCTTCACAACCAGAAGGGTGCGAGCGCCAACTGATACTTCGCAGGAAAGCTCTCGATGAGATTCTTACAAAACCGCCCTTTTCGGCAGTGGTGACCTCCTTGTTTTAGAGAAAGTACGCTTTGAAAATAGCTCGCTCCCCTGTGCGCTGACTCGCAACCTTACGGTATGCCGTTTGCTTTTTGACAACTTCGAGAGGGAGGAATTGCGCACGGTTTGCAATCGCATCGCCGAGAAATATACGAAGCTGGGACTGCCAGGAACATTCGGGATACTAAGGTGGTCGGGACAAAATTTTTCAGCGGTGGGTCCCACTCCGAGCCCTACTAAGATCCGTCTTCACCGGTGGCGATGATGGAAGCGGTCGAGCTTTGGCCGCAGTACGTATCGCACGATCGGGGCGCTAAAGCTCGCTTGACTGATGGGCGTCACTGCCTTCGAAAGTCATGACGAAGCACTCGTGTATTTTCTCGCAGAATATCGGTGATTTGCTTTGCAGCAAGCAGCTGCTTGAAAACGTTCGATGATAGGAGACGCTTTTGTTTGGTTTCGTACGGCGTTATCTGATGAAAGCCTCAATGACGAGTGTCTCCACCAATCACTGCTCGTTGTGAGATTGTGGAAATCGTGCACACGCACACCCTAACCCAGACCTTCAACCAAAGTACAACGCACACGGCGGACGTTGCTCGCTCGAAAACAACACAGCTTTTGTTGGAAATCGGGCCTGCAGGCAAAGAAAGCATGGAGGCACAACGGAAACTCAGGACCAGAACACAGCGACGGATGACGGTGTTCCCCCTGGGAAAACCCCAATAATCACCCCCATCCGCCCCCCCCGGTGTTTGCCATCGGGATTGGGTTTTCGTCGCTTGGCAACGACGTTGTAAAACAAGTCGCCCCCCCCGGTGTTTGCCATCGGGATTGGGTTTTCGTCGCTTGGCAACGACGTTGTACAACAAGCCCGTTCACTTCGTGAGCTCGGCAACCAGTTTACCGTTTTGTTTTTACCTCTGTTTCTTTCTTTGGCGGTACTGTAACCATTATGGTGGTCGAGTGGATCATGTGGTGCGACGTGGAGAACCCTCACTCCGCGTAAGGGGGATGATCGCACCACGTTGTGTTAAAATGGTCAAGCACCCTCGAGGCAGTTACACAGGGCTTACAACTGTCTCTGGAAGTGAAAGCACCAGAAAATAAATTAATTCATACGCAGCTGTCATCCGTACGCAAGGAAGTAAGCACAAGATGCCGAACACCCTTAGCAGGATGCAGCGCACCCTTCATGCGACTCGCCGAATATCTCACGGCGCTTCGCGCTTGGTGATGTGAGAGCCTGGTCCGGTGAGAACCCGGCGTGCTCCGTCCCGGCTTTGTAGGGATGCGAGGTCAATGGTCTAACGACTACGGCTGCACGACTATGAGTACACCCCCATCCCGCCCTGAGCATGCTGAAGGACGATGACCAGCTTCTGGTTTCATCCTTGTGGTTTATTGCCTGGGCCGGCGAAACCCGACATATCGCTCCGTCTTGGCATGGCAGAGATGCAAGGTCTGCGGTCAACCGACTACGGCATGCGTCTACATGAGTACACCCCCCCATTTTTCATTGCGTTAAAGATTTATCCTTGTGGCACAGCCCCACTCGATCGATTCGTGCATGGTGTATCGATTATGTGGCCTGATTTTATTCACCTCGTGCCGCCGTCGCTGCCGACATCCGGCGCTGCCCTCACAATTTTTTCGTTCTGAAGCTGCGGCAGGACAAGGTAAGGGCACTTCGTGCGATCATCGCTGACGACGGAGCAGACGACGCCCCCGCCGACAGCGATATCAACAGCAACAGCTGTAACAACGACCGCGTCGGTGGCGGAACCTCCGTGAGGCCCCTTCCTGCGAGGCAAGAACTGGGGACAAGAATATCCTCGGTAGCCGCACGAACAACGACCGCCCTATCCGAGACTAAAGAAGCAGAGCACGAAGACAATCGTGGCCAAGCGCGAGACGAAAAGGAAGATCTCGTCCACATACCCGACGACTCCGCGTATGTAGCAGCATCGACGCGGTTAGGACCACCGGTATCGGCAGCAGGAGCCACGCTCGCTGCAGAAGGGGCTACGCGGCATGCGTCAGGGGTGGCCGGCGACCACGGCAGTCGGAGCAAAGGCGTTGACAACGGTGGTAGTCAAGCCAATGACGCCGCCGCGACCGTTGAGCTGAACAAATATCTGTGGCGTCTGGAAGAGAAACGGCAACCTCTAGGGGGCTGTGACACAAGTCTTCCCCCTACCGGGGACAACCAGGTGCTGCTGCTGCTGCTGTTGCTGTTGCTGTTGTTGCTGCTGCTGCTGCTGCTGCTGATGATGATGATGATGCTGTCGCTGCTGCTGCTAGGTTCTTTGCTGATAATCTTGCTTGTAGCCCAACACCCGAAGCGTTTGGGCGTTCTTCGTTCAACGCGCCCAAGAAATTTAGTCCTGTCTCTGAGTCGGGTAGATCAGTCGTCGATGCGAGGATGAGTAGTCTTCCGTCGTCGGTGCTGCCTTTACTCCTCGAACAACAGATTCGGAAGGTTACCCCCCCTGTTCCGCGCTGATCGACCGACCCCGCCTCTCGACGCGTCAACACACCAACAGGGGGAAGCAGGGCAGCCGAATCAGCAACAGAGCTGGGCTTCCAGGGATGCGGCGACCAAGGTCCTGTCAGCGAGGGATGTCATGGACAGGAGGAGCATCCTGGAATACGCCGCCGCGCTAGGGAAGGCGTCACACTTCGAAGACCTCGCACGCTGGCTGAGATGGAAGGTGGGGCATGGGTGTACAGTTGGAAAAGTGGGCGGGGCGGGGGGCACATACTCTTTTCTTGCGTCCTTTTGTGGTTCTACATTGCCTTTTCGAGACGAACCACCACCGTTCCTTCTCGTGTGAGAAGCTCTGCCGCCGACTCGTCCTCCTGGAAGGAGGGGGGCGAAACGTTAAGTGGTGAAAGCAGTGCTGTCTGCTTCTCTGCTTTGGTGGCAGTGTGATAGATGAAGACATTTTTGACGTTTTGCTGGAAATGGACTGGACGGGACGAAACGGCGGGGTGGGAGCGGTGTTCGTTTCACGTTGAGCTCCTTCTGAAATCAAACTCATGCGATTGTTTGAGAATCTCGTAACCCAGGGTGACGTCCTTCCTCCCCCTGCAGACTCCGTTTTCACTTCCCTTCGCTCCCAACACCCGCCGTTGAGCCTTTCACGATTTTTACGGTTTTGATCCCGCATATCACCTCAGTCGACATTATTCGTATCTCGAGAAAACGCCTTCTGTGGGGGCCCGCTGGCAACACTGGTTGAGCAGTGCCCGTGCCGGTGCCTGTACCAACGTGCCTGCCGACGACAAAAAAGTGCTTTCTTTGATGGCAAGACCACAACCGCAACGGCTCTCCACTCTACTTTGTAAGGAGCGTGACTTTTTTACCCTGACCAGAAGTTTGATTTTCATGTTTCCCTGTTCTCCTATTATGTACATAAACCCCACCGGGCCCTTCCCTCGTCGACCCGATACGTAGCTCGGCGTGGGCAGTCTTGTGAACCAGCTCCGAGAGCCCGGCGTGGACGGAGCGCCCCTGCTGTTCCAGGCGGTGAACGTCGACGAGTGCTTCAAGGCAGTCACGAAGGCGAGTCCCCTCGGGAAGCCACCATGTAGGGCGAGCAGGACATCGAATTACCACCGGGTTTGGGCGTTGTTTTGAGAAAAGGAAGCGATACACGACTCCCCCCTCATTGTCTTTGCCCAATTTTTGGTTGATTTCCTGTTGTTTGTTCGTGTTTTCCGGGATGTACCCTGGGAGGGTTACCGACGTGGCGCAGTAAGTTTATTGTTTCTCTGTTTTTCTACTGTGGCTTTTCCTCCCCTTCCCCCCCCCCACACGCCGATCATTTTATCTCCTTAACACCGACCAGGTGCTTCTGGACACCCTGGGGGCTGGCGGTGTGGCGCAGCAAATCAGGGCGACGGACCAGAAGGGGATGACGCTGCTTATGCACGTGGCGCGCTCCGCCGGCAGCGTGGAGGTGTTCTCGAGCGCGCTGCACCTGGTGAAGACTCTCTCAAGCAGGCAGCAGGGGCTGTGCCATTTGCGGGCGAGGGATGCGGAGGGTAGGACCCTCGCTCACCACGCGGCAGAGGGCCGGACGGAAGAGATGCTACCCAAGGTACGTGTGTTGTGTTCGGCGTGAGAAGGATGGGTTTCGCCTCGCCTGACACTCCTGTGTTTAGCGGACGTCCGAATGTGTTCCATGACGTCTCGCAATTTGTTGTTTTCACACAACGCACTCGTAGATTGTTATTTACTACGTACGTTTTCCTGTCGTCTTGACAGACCGTACTTTTTACAACAACCACAGCAATTACCCCGTGCTACATAACTTTGAAAATGGACACAGGTGATGGAAGTGGTTTCGCAAGCGGACCTGTGGGTGATCGACGAGAGCGACAGCGAGAGCACCGACCTCCGACAGTACCTCAGCACACGCACCGACAGGCAAGAAGATGCTTGCTGTTGGTTCTCTTTTCTTCGTCTCCAGTCCCCGAGGGTAGATTCACAGCCTCAGAATCGGCATGTCCTGAGGTCCTACTCTGCTACGTCTTCGTCGACGAAGAATGCCGTGTTGTTTTTCTATCGCTCGGCCCAGGACAAACCCCAACGGCACAGAGTACCTCAGAAGGTTCATGAACGTGTTGGCTGTGGTTCGCTTAGAAAAAAAGATTCGTGGCACGTGTGATTGATTGGGTCACATCCGACGTCACGGAAGGCAACGGCGGGCGACTTGCAGGCTACGTGTAGCTATACCGATGAGCGTCACGAAAACATCCAAGTTCCCACCCGCGTAACGCGCGCAGGCATGGGCGGAGCCCCGCTCTCTGTGCGCTGGGGCGGAAAGGAACCCCCAGGGCAAGCCTAGAGAAGAGCATCCGTGTTCTGCTGGCTGGGGCACCGCCGAGTGGCTCCACCACCCTCGTCAACAACGATGCTGACGCTGCAGAGGGTCATCTCCCCATTCCCGCTGCTAGTACGGCGTTGTGTCGCCGTCTCCGCTTGATTTTTCAAGCGCCGGAAGGCGGTGGTGGTAAGGGGGGACGCGGGAACAGCCCCTTATGTTGGGTCCTGCATGCCGCGCGCGGTGGGATCGAGGTGTGTTGCTCTCTTCGTGCGTCGTCGGCGATCCAGTTGTGCGCCTTGCAAGCCTGAGGCCCGAGAGTTGGTAGGGGGCTGTGTACTACATACGGCCCCCCCAACAGGTTTAGCACGCATTAAGAAGACGTTGACCAAATTCACCGAGAGCTAAAAAAGGTGAAGATCCCTGGCTATTCTGGGCGGGTTTCTGTCCTTATTGTTTGCGAGGGCCGTTCAAATTGTAGCTTGGTTCTGTTCGTGATGAGCAACAAGCCACCCGAGAAGCTCTTCACAAGACAAGAACATAGTCCTATCTGCTCGAAGCGTCTAGTCCATGTGGTTCATTTTAGTATCCTACGATCGCAACCCAACCATTCCTGAGTATCTAGTTCAGCTGTTGTATGGATAATACACAACGGGCGCTCGGCCGTGCGTTCGCGAAGACCAGTCGAGGATCAACCTGGAGACAGGCGAATTGCCTACTTTTCAACCTTACAAGCACTTGTTTTCACTTTTTGAAGCGTTTTGCTGTTCTTCGTGTGATTCAATCTTTTCCACTCCCGATCACGTCTTCCAAACCGTAGTCATCCCTGATTTTGAAAACGTCACGGTTGGCTTTGACCCTGAGACCGAATACGTGCGAAGCTGCGCAGTGGTGTCTAATTGTTTTGAAAATGTTCGTCGGTTCTGTCGTTTCACACTCCCCGGCGTTGGTGCAATGCGGCCCGGCAAACGGAAAACGCTTCACGCGCATTGGTTCCATGTTTCTTGATTGTTTGCACGCCCCATTGCGAGTCGTCGTTCTTGAAGGATTTACCACCCTTTTTGTCGTGGTTTCTTCAATCCGTGTACCTTTCATTCACCCTCTAGTTGTTCCCCCGATCTGGTCTCGTTGATGTGTGTACATGCGACGGGTCTATGCGTCAAGGCCTTCACCCTCGCCTACGAGGGCATCAAAGGACAAGAGGAGAAATCGAACCGCAGGTAAGGTTGTAGCTACGACCCTTGTGTGCCGCTACCGAAGAGGTCAAGCTTGGGGAAGGGACCATAAATGCCATGTTCAGAAAACAAGGCAATCAACTTCCACTAGTCACCACCACCATCATCACAGGTAGCTTCTCGTTAACTTGATGACATCTACTGTGTGAGAGCGCGTTCGTTCGCTTCACAGGCGTGCTGGGTATTTCTATCACCCCGAGTTTCGAGCATGAAACTACGCCTTTGGCCAGTTCTTTTTCTTCCCTTTTTCCCTGCTCCCCTCCCCCCGTTTTTTGATTTCCGATATAATGTTTTGCAGATTTGGCCAGTTCTTTTTCTTCCCTTTTTCCCTGCTCCCCTCCCCTCGTTTTTTTATTTCCGATATAATGTTTTGCAGATCCTTGGGTTTTTGGACACGGTGAGGTATTGGCCTGTTTTAACGAAAACGGTGGCACCGAAGTAGAGGTTCTAACAAACTCAAGTTATGGGGGGGGGACTGGGGGACAAATACATTGAGTAGTTAACAGAAACCAAGCGATATCCTTTTTTGTTTGGCGGAGGACAAATCTACATCGAACTTTGGTTTGTGCAGAACCCACGTACCCGAATTGGAATTAACCCCAAACCTTGTCAGTGGATTCCCAAATAACCCGAACGCCTGTGTTTGCTGTTTCTTTCACATTCGCGTGTCTTCTGACCAGCTCGGAAACATTTTCGTTCTCTCTCTGAATCGAATCTTCAGGGCAATAGTATCACAACTGTCACAGAAACCCTCTGTTTTGTGTATTAATTCTGTGGGTGAATGCACCTAGACTTGCCACAGCCCGACCACCCCACCGCCTAGCTGCTGACACGATGACTGTTGGATCTTGGGAGTGTACGATAATCAACTTGGGAGATGCAGCATACCACGATATCCTGGCTTCGGCTGGGCTTGAAATAACCCTTTTGCTGTACTCCGCTCTTTGCATCAGTGGCTTCCTAGATTCGAGCGAATGTATTTGTGTAGCTGAGATGTGTGTCTACGTGAAAGAACATGTGGAGAGAGTCTTATTGGCATTCGCATCAAGCGCATTGCGCATTTTTCGAATTTGAGCCCCGTTCCAGGGACCTTGATTTTTACCTGCTGGCACTGACGTCTGTTAATTGGTCAGCCGGTTAGCGCGGTCGATGCTAATAATAAAAACACACACAACACGACACTCATGGCGGCCTCGTCACGACCCTCACGGGCGGGCAGGCTAAGAACACATAGGTGGCACAATCTATCTCACAGCCTACATCTGGCAGACAATGCCCTCGACCTTTCGACGGCGGTGGTATCTCACTTCTCTCACGGAATCACAAATCTTTTGTTTGGACAACCGGCGTACAAA